CTCCTCTCTGGCAAGGGACTCCAGATTTCTCATGGAATCATAGAAGTTTTTATGTTCCTCAGAAACACATGATTCCATGGACCTTATCTTATCAATTATTGATAATCTTTCTTCCTTATATAGTGTCTGGAGAGTTAGTGTTCTGTCCATTAAATATTCACATTTATTATCAATAAGATCAATTTTTGGTACAAGCCTGTTTTGTAAATCCTGATCAGCAGATTCCAGAGAAAGAATCTTTTTCTCTAAGGTCTCATTGCTATCTGTTAAAGCAGATTCCAGAGATAGAATCTTTTTCTGTAAGCCTTCATTGTTAGTTTTGAAAGCCTGTAAATCCTGGTTAGCAGATTCCAGAGAAAAAATCTTTTTCTCTGAGGTCTCATTGTTATCGGTTAAAGCAGATTCCAGAGAAAGAATCTTTTTCTGTAAGCCTTCATTGTTAGTTTTGAAAGCCTGTAAATCCTGGTTAGCAGATTCCAGAGAAAGAATCTTTTTCTCTAAGGTCTCATTGCTATCCATTAAAGCAGATTCCAGAGATACAATATTTTTCTGTAAGCCTTCATTGCTCTCGCTTAAAGCCTGTATCAGTCCCAATAATGACTCATCTTTGTTCTTGTTATTAAACCAGTGTTTGAACACTGTGTGGATTATTACAATGAATGCCAAAATGGTACAGGCCAGATATGCCTTAGGAAGGTTGTATATTTCCAGGAAGATGTCATTCATCATACAGGCAAAAAGGCTTTCAAATTCTTGTGAGGTAATGTTGTCAGCCATATTACAAGAATTACTCAAAATTTGTTAGTCAATTTTAAGATGTAAAATTATCAGGTACTTTTACCTACCTTTCGTGGTTTTGGAGGGTGTAGTAGCACTTTTCAGCCAGCAGGTGGCGTTGGTACAGCTCCAAAGCAGGGCCTGCTGGTGATCTTGGCTGACTGCAGCTCTCTGGAGTCGGAGCAGGCGCCGGCACTCAGGAAGCCGGGAAGTGCCTCTTTTGCTGGTCTCGGGGCTAAGCTAGGGAACTGAGACCAGACTAGCTGCTCCCTTTTTCGGGAATGGAACCGTGTAGGCGTTCCCTGGTTATATGGAACTTTGCAGGCAGGTTTAGGTACCCGCTAGCCGGGGAGGAGGCTGAGGGTGGGAGCCACCCAGGCCTTTGGAATTTGCCCCACGTGAGCACCAGATATTGGTGAAATTATTAAGGCCACTCCACGTAGTTAAAGGGAGATTTATTTAATGGCATAACTTACAAATTAAGGGATAGGGAGGTCGCGGAGTCTGGGGAAGGTGTATCACAGTCCCGCGGTGCTCTCTGGAGCTCTGCTCAGTCCACCTCCACCGTCCAAGGTCCCGCAACAGAGAGAGAGCCCGCCGATCCAGATCTCAGGTCCCCAGGCGCCTCCCTTGACCCCACCTTGTAGGCATGACAGTTGCCAAAGTCTCAATGGGGGTTGGAACTTCCAGACCAAAGCTGGAATGGCTACCCACTACAGATGTCCATGTGGATGTAGCAGGCCAGAGGCAGAGCAGGCTACAGGAGCCAGAGTAACATGTACAGAGTATAGAGGTGTCCACATGGAGGGCACAGCAGGCTAGGGGAGACCGAGGGAAGGAGGAGCTGAAGAATCAGATTCTAGAATTGGGAATTAAATATTGTGAGTGGCAGAAACAAATGATCTCTATGTACTTCAGGAGAGTCAGATCAACAGCTTGGTTCAGAGAGGCCAAGTTCTTAGAGATAAGGAAGAGCATAGACAGAGGCAGAGATATCCGGGAGAGTCCAGAGTAAACATGAACCAGAGCTGAACCATGTGAGGAGAAAAATGGGGATGGGCAACCAGGAAGGGTGGCTTAGCCAAGATTTGATGCAGAGGGGAAGGATAAGGAACTGGAGGGAAGGTGACTGATGAAGAAGGGGAGAGGATAAGAGTAGAAAGTGGATTTATTGCCAGGATCCAAGATGACAAGCTTGGCTTCAGTTTGGGGAGGGAGAGGATGGTGGCATGGCAGCAGGCTCCAGAGGTGAGCTGCAGCTGCAGACTCCTGAAGTGACTCAGTCTGGACAGCTGCTGCAGGCTCCTAGAGCTGCACGGCCATGGCAGCAGGCAGCAGTACAGTGACGAGGTTTTGATGGCCAATAGGACATGAGACAAATGTAAGGGGAAGGTTTGGAGTAGAGGTAAAGAAGGGATAGACATAGGGAGTCTCTGAAGAGGGGAGGTCAGGAGGGAGAGGAGTAAAAGAGGATCTCCTTGCACCATTCCATGCACCCACAAGAATTGTAAAAGTTGACAATTTGTTTGATTATCTAGGGGGTGCATAAGGGCCATTCTTGAGTGCTAAAATGCACCAGAAATGTCTAGTATGAGTTGGGTCTTTAGGAGACTTCCCAGAGGTAAATTAGTCAGGATAAAGAGAGTGGGTCTCATTGTTAAAGGCAGCCAATGAGTCAAGGTTAAGAGCCAAGGGCCATCCCCAAGGGTCTCTAGTGGCTAATAAGGAGATCTCGGGGAGGGAGGGTTTGTCACCCAAGCTACATCATCAAGAGAGATTTGCAATGGTCCAAGGAAAAATCTGGGCACATGTCAACAGGATTTTCAGGTGGCTAGGAATGGAAAACAGCCACCAAAAGCGAAAGGAAAATGTCCAACCAAGCCAAACTGAATGGAATATGTCTGCAAGCCATCTGATAGAGACCACCATTGCCTCTGAAGGCCAGGGTATAACGCATTCTCCCCATCTTGTGGAAGAATCGCTTCCACTTTTATCCCAGGATACTCTTGAGGAGGGAAAAGTGAGAAATATTTAGATAGAAGGACAGAGGGGAGAGAGACAGATAAAAACACAGGATAGCTCAAGAGGCCCTGGATCCTTATCCACCAGCCCCTTCTGCCTCTTCTAAAGAGCTTTTTAAAGGAATGCCAAGGGGCAGGACAAAAGACCTCCCCTCGCTAGATCAAAGCATATCACACATCCAAGTGCAGACCCTTCCAAACACCTGGTAAACATGCACGTGGTCAAGCAATCCTCTAATGCAGCTCTGCTGGATAAAGCAAGTTCAGATCTCACTAAGAAACCTTTATGGGCCTCACACCATCCCCACAAGACAGTGCAGAGATACTGGACACTTAACAGCCATCATCTGATATCCTGGGAGATGTTTAGGATGGCAAATATGGAAAAACTTATGAATTAGCTGCTGCTAGATGAAGGGAGCAGGTGCCAGATGATCCAGAAAGTGTGAGAACTGGGTTGAGGGTCCTGTAGACCCATCTGAGTTATGATCCAAGTTACAGAACCAAATAAAGGGGCCACAGAGTCAGACAGAATACACCAGACACCAAATTCTTAACACAAAAATTTTATTACCACAGAAGGGACAAGCAGTGGTGGAACTGCCTCTGGATTGGGCATAGACAGCAGCAGGTGTCCCTGAAGGGGTGATTTTTTCAAGGAGAAATAGGGGAAGTCCATGTTAGGATGGGTTGGAAAGTCCTCATTGGATGTTAGTCAATGTAACCAAAATATGAATTTTGATTGCTGGACCTTGGTGTTTTGAGAGCTGGGCCCTGTTGATCAGCTTCAAGAATGAAATAGGCATAAGGAAGTGATCAAATAAGGCAATGGACCCTGGTGGCTGGCTTTAGGAACATAATCTAATAGTTCAGTTAGGGAGAGGGAGGGGGTGGGCAAGACCTGCTAGTGTCATGTTTGCAAAGTTTGGCCCTTCATCAAGCATACCTGTTAGTATCAGTGGTTCACACAACGCTCTTGTGTCTCACATACTGTGAATTACTCATCTCCTTATTCAGGATCATTTTTCATGATAATCACTATATTCTCATTCATCTTTCCTCTGTATTTATTAGATAAAATACAATGGTGACAAAATCTTGTGCTATATGACTCCTGTTTAACATTTATGTAGGCTAAAATATTCAAATTGAGAGTCAACAGTTGGCAAGAGTTATTAACATATTGATAAGCAACTTTATGGAATTTTTGTCACTTACTACTCATGGGTGGCTATTGTTCTTTTCATTTGTGTCACTTTATTCCTAATTTATGATTTTGTGGGTTTTTTTATTGGGTTTTGTGAATGTCCTTTATTTGTGCTTCATAGGTCCTGTTTCATTAATTTGATGAGCCATATGTATATGCCTCTATGCATGGTATACATGTGTGTGGGGGTTTAATAATTGTGAACTGCTTAAATAGAAAATGATCTTTTGTAAGGAGACCGGCATTCTTCTACCCAATTGAAAGATATATCAATTTTCTGAGATAAATCCACTTTTTCCCTCATAATATTGTACTCCACCAAATAATACTTTATTTCATGAATACATTTTATAGGCACATGATTTTAAATTGGCTTTAAATTAAATTTCTATTTTTTCTGATAGTGATATTTTAGCCAGTTTTATTATAGAGAATTTTAATCATTATACATGGAATGTCAAGAAGGAATGTTGTATAAAATCCCAGGTTGAAACCTTTAAAAACAGGCTCAGAGAGGGAAAATGAGTGAGCTTTTTAAGAGACCATGGTACTGTTCAGTTGGAAGCTCTGGCTCAGCCCCACCTCCTCCTTCTCCAAACCCTGCCCCTCAGAAAGACTGCCAAGTGGCACTTCCTCTCCAAGCTGCTCAAACCACACCTAAAGGTATTTAAGCTCTGTTTCATAGACTTGCTGTGTGATTTTTCTTCCTTCCTTCCCCTGAGATCTCCCAGGAGTGTTTTGCTCAGATTACACCTGGTCTTATTAATTCGAGTTCATTTGGCTTATTGCAACAATGGAGAAACCCATTACTGGGGATTCAAAATACTTATCAAGAATCATTCTTCTGAATCAGAGAAAGAATTACATTTAGTGAAGAATTTGTACTTTTATTTCCTCCATTTCACCCATCAATTTTGTAAGCAAGTATTCCCACGTGATAGGTAAGGCTCAGAGATGGCTCAACAATGCAATGTTCATGTGTTTCTTTGTTGCAGAGATATTCCAGAACAAGGGAAGTAAGCTGCCAAGACTGAGGTAAAGCAAAAAGAAATGCCTCACAGTAAACACGATGAATATACAGCAAACAAGCAGGACATTGCTTACACAGAGATAAAGATGACTAAGTCTCCACAGAAGCAAAGAATACCTAAAGCTGAGAAGAGGCCAATATTGCTAAGTGAAGAGCAGGTAAACTATGCAGAACTGACATTCCACAGAATGCCTGAGCTCCTGCCCCAAAAACGGGTTGTCGGAGGAGAAAGACAAGGTACAGTGGTGTATCCATTATGTAACTGACAGATCTTAACACTAGGTAACGTTTAGATTGCAGCTCTCAATACCTGTCATGACTACTTTTAATTGTCAATGTGACACAACATAGAATCAATTGGGAAGAGTCTTATGAAGGGAATGTCTACATTAGTTTGGCCTGTGAACATGTCTGTACTGGATTGTCTTGATAATCTAACTGATATGAGAAGACTGCCAGCAAGTGGGAGGCACCATTCCCAAGTTTGGAGCTCTGAACTGTGTAAGAGTAGAAAAAGCTGGATCTTGGGGGAGATGGATTCCCAATTTTCTAAGAAAGTGCCATATTGATTTCCAAAGTGGTTGTACAAGCTTGCATTCCCACCAGCAGTGGAGGAGAGTTCCCCTAGCTCCACATCCCCTCCAGCATAAGCTGTCTTCAGTGTTTTTGATCTTAGCCATTCTGACAGGCGTAAGGTGGTATCTCAGAGTTGTTTTGAAGATACGCCCACAACAGACTGCTGGCAATGGTCGAGAGACAGCCCGAACTGACCTACTCTGGTGATGGGATGGCCAAACACCCTAATTGTTGTGCTAGAAACCCCATCCAACTACTGAGGGATTTGGATGCAGAGATCCATGGCTAGGCCCCAGGTGGATCTCTGGGAGTCCAGTTAGCAAGAATGAGGAGGGTTTATATGAGCGAGAATTGTTGAGACCAAGGTTGGATAAAGCACAGGGACAAATAGCCAAACGAATGGAAACACATGAACTATGAACCAATGGCTGAGGGGTCACCAACTGGATCAGGCCCTCTGAATGGGTGAGACAGTTGATTGGCTTGATCTCTTTGGGAGGCATCCAGGCAGTGGGACTGGGTCCTGTGCTCATTGCATGAGTTGGCTGTTTGAAACCTGGGGCCTATGCAGGATCGCTTGGCTTGGCCTGGGAGGAGGGGACTGGACCTACCTGGACTGAGTCTACCAGGTTGATCTCAGTCCGCAGGAGAGGCTTTGCCCTGGAGGAAGTGGGAATGGGGGGTGGGCTGGGGGGAAGGTGAGGGGGGCTAGAGGGAATCCGTGGCTGATATGTAGAACTGAATTGTATTGCAAAATAAAAATAAAATTTTTTTTAAAATGACATAAAAAAGAGTAGAAAAAGCTAGGCAAGCCCTAAGCATGAGTGTGTTTATGTCTCTCTACTCTTGAATGTGCATGTGACTAGCTGCTTCAAGCTCCTGCATTGATGACACTTCTCTGATGAACTATAAATGGGAATCATTAACTGACCAGACCCCTTTCACATCTAATGTACCTTTTTTCAGAGTATTTTATCACAGTAACAGAATGAAAAGGAAACATAACCATGCTAAATTAATCACAATACATTAATTATGCATCTTGGTAATACCCTTCCCAACTAGTCTAGGATACTACAGTAGAATAAATTTTCTTTTGATCTGTTTCTCTCAAGTATCACTGAAGTATATTCCAAAAGAATTGCATTGTGTTTAAGAACACAGTTGAATGCTACTTTTAAAAATCCCAATCATCCTGAGTGAGCTAACTCAGACCCAAGAAAGACAAACATGATATGCACTCATTTATAAGTATATATTAGCTATAAAGTAAAGGATAATTATGCTACAATCCACAGAACCAAAGAGGATAAGTAACAAGGAGGGCAGGCTCAAGGGGGTTGTTTGGATCTTTCTGGGAAGGAGAAGGAGAAGAAACTTCATGGGTGGACTGAGGGCAGGTGGGGATGGGAACATGAGGAACCAGATTGGGGGGATGATAGGGTGAGTACTGAAAGAGATGACTAGAAGGGGGTGGAATTTCAGGGTCAGGTAGAAACCTAGTGCAAGAAAAATTCCCAGGAATCTACAAGGATGACCCCAACTAAGACTCCTAGCAATAGCTGATATGTAGCCTGAACTGGCCATCTCCATTGACTACCTCAATTACCATCAGAGAGACTTCATCCAGCAACTGGTGACAGAGACTCATAGCCAAACATTAAGCAGAGCTTGGTGAATTCTGCTAAAGAAAGGAAGGAAAGATTGTAGGAGCTAGTAGGGTCAATGACATCACAAGAAAACCCACATAATCAACTAACCTTCACTCATAGGTGCTCGCAGAGTCTGAACTGACACCTAGGGAGCCTGCATGGGACTGACTAGGCACTCTCATATATGGAACTGTTGTGTAGCTTGCTCTTCTTGTGGGAATCCTAACAGTGGGAGCAAGGGCTGTCTCTAACTCTTTCTCTGGTCTTTGGGCCCCTACTCCTCCTACTAGGTGACCTTGTCCTGCCTTAACACAAGGGGAGGTGCTTAGGCTTACTGCAACTTGATATGCCATGTTTTGTTGATATCCACCAGAGGTGCCTGCCCATTTCTGAACAGAAAAGGAGGTGTGAATGGGGAAGGCAGAGAGGGAGGTTAGAGGAGGGATTGGGAGACAAGGGGGAGGGGAAACTGTGGTCAGGATGTAAAATAAATAAATTTAAAATAAAAAAATATTTTATTTACTCCCCCCCCAATTTTTATGATACAGGTCCTATACTGTATCCTAGAGGGGTTTAAACACAAAGCAGTTCTTTAGTTTTAGGCTCCTCAAGTTTTAGAAATAAAGGTGTGAGCAAACATGACTGGCTTCATTCCCTGACACTTTGAAATTAGCTATTGATGCCAAGAGTAGAGAGACATGAACACACTCATGCTTAGGGCTTGCCTAGCTTTTTCTACTCATACACAGTTCAGTTCAGTCTAACTCAGTCCCAATGGGTCTGCTCTGAACATGCAGTGGACCAAAAAGATAAAAGAGAGCCGGGCAGTGGTGGCGCACGCCTTTAATCCCAGCACTCAGGAGGCAGAGCCAGGCGGATCTCTGTGAGTTCGAGGCCAGCCTGGGCTACCAAGTGAGTTCCAGGAGAGGCGCAAAGCTACACAGAGAAACCCTGTCTCGAAAAACCAAAAAAAAAAAAAAAAGATAAAAGAGGAATAGCCACCAGATTGAAAGAAATAACATGTTAGTGTCGCAGGAATGATAGATGAGAAATAATTTTCATAATATTTTGGAGGTAAAATTATAATGTTATATTTAACCAGATAACAGAAGTGAAATTAAGAAGTTAAATGTAATTTAAAACAAAACTTTATTTTTCTCTTTTTTTCTTTGTTTATAGATATGTGAGGGTGGAGAAAGAGAGAGAGAGAGAGAGAGAGAGAGAGAGAGAGAGAGAGAGAGAGAGAATCTGTCTCTGCTTCCACTTTGTTTTGAAGCAGGATCTTTTTAGTTTCTGCAGTCTACCCCAAGCTGGTTGGCCTGTGAGATTCCAGTTGCCAATTCTCTTGTCTCCATCTCCTGGGATAGCATATACAGATGTAAAAGCAAACTACAGGCTTTTCCCATGGGCTCCAGGGATGGAACTCAGGTTACCAGGCTTGCACTGAAAGTGCTTTTACAAGCTAAGCCACCCTTCGGGTCCATTACAAAGTATTTTAATGTTCCCTTAAGTGATTAGTCATCATTAACTGTTTCCACACTTAGAAAGACATTCATCACAGATGATTTACCCAGGAAAAGCCAGATAGCACATGGTATTTGAATGTCTCTTGGTAGTTAAGGAGAAGATGTCCTCAAAGAAACTGGAGTTGAGACTAATGATGCCAAAGATGGGAGGAGAATGACCACCAACCCAAATCATCACAACCAAATTAATTAAACAAGCTTTTTTGTTCGTTTATATGGGCTGCCCTCCCCCGTGATAGGGTTCAAGATGTCAGCTTTGGATGTGAGGAAAACAAGGTTTTTATAGCTCAGGAGTAGGGGGTTTCCAACTGGAAGATTTGGCAGGCAAAACAGACATGGTCCCAGGAAGAGAACGTAAGCATGCATGTTAGTCCTGACAACCTTCTGAAACAATGGCTGGTTGCACAGTGGACATAACAAGGCACTCATAAGAACAGTAGTCATAACGATGTAGTCATAGGTGGTCATATAACCTTTTGAAACATAGGTAGGGTTGCAAGATGGTTATAAACAACTTTTTGAAAACAAGATATGATTACCATTTCTGGAACAGGCAGTACAGAACCACTTATGGTTAAGGTTAGAGGTGGGGCATAGGCCAATCCTTGAGAAACAGAAATTTATTCATAAACAGGAATAAACCTAGTTAGGCAAATAGGAATAAACCTAGTTTGGCTTTACAATACAATGGCTTTTAATCCTAAGATGGAAGCAGGTTGGTTCTTCACTACCTTCTTGGAAGTTAGAATCTCAGTCATTGTCACTGTTCTCTTTCTTTTCCGGCCCCAAAGCAACTGTATGGAGAATGGTAACGGGCATCCTTGGAGCCTTGTGTGTGGTGCTGATGACAGTCGTGGGGATCTTACTTCCAAAATGTAAGCAGTTCTGGAATTACTTCATTGTTGTAGCAGTTATGCTTTCAGCAATATCATGATAGCTTGACTCCCTGTGGAGACTGTATTTCACACATCCAAGTGATCATATCCTAAACACTACTGATTACTGTTTCGATTTTTGCCCTAGTATTTTCTAGCCAAGAACAAAGCAGAAAAATCTTGCTTCATCCTCTTCTGTGTCCTAAGGAGAATAGTGAGTATTAACTCTAAGAATGTTAGTGAATATTAACTCTGTAGAGTTCACTTCCAGAACTTTTCATTACTAAGCCAGAAGATCTTCCTATTTCCACAAATGCTGATTAATCATGATAGGCAGATGCAGTGTTGTTCACTGAGTCCCTTACCAGGGAAGAACTCAGATGACTTAAAACTGAGAAGGGAGAATCTGAAAAATAAAACCCCCAAACTACAAGTATATATTTTTTTTATTCTTACTAGGAGAAAAATGATATTTAAATATGTTGAATACTAAATATGAATTTCTAATGTTATTGTTGCTTAAAAATAAAGATCAATGAAATAGAAAGTAATCCTAGGAAATATATACTAATGTGTGTTTATTCCTAGTACAAAGCACGATGATCCTGTAGAGAAAGCAGTCTTGGTACACATTCTCATGAATTCTACAATTATACATGTGAACAGGGGGAAAGAAAACCATGTCCTCAAATGACTGCATACAGATGTTATTAAATATTTTATCATAATATCTTTTAACTGTAAGCATTCAAAAGAGCTGTAACCAGGTTGATGGTTGACAAATGTACTGGCTATTCTTAGTTGTCAACTTGACTACACCTGGAATTAACTAAAACCCAAACAGCTGGGTACATGTCTGTTCTGAGGGATTTTTCCTAATTAAATTATTTGAAATGAGAAGACAAAATTTTAATCCAGATATTTTGAGGTGGGAAGATTCACTTTTAATCTGGGGCACAGTTTCTGGTGGCAGCCTATATCAAGGACATGAAAGAAGGAAGCTTTTTTGCTTTGCCTGCTTGCCCTCACTGTTGATGGCAAGTCCATTCCTTCACTGGCATTAGAGCCCACTTCTTCAATATTTCCATGTATACTGAGGATCAGCTGAGATATCCAGCCTTCTGGACTGTTCTACTGGATTCTTGGACTTTTTGTTGGAAGACAGTTTTGGAAAAATTGGACCATAGCCTATAAGCCACTCTAATAAATTATACATATAAATATAGCCATTCTATCTGTTCTATTCCTCTAGCGAACCCTAAGACAGAAGTGGTACAAGGGAGTACATCACTGTTATAAGCCTGACCATGCTGCTTGTTAGAGGAATGTGGATTTTGGGAATTTGCATTAGTAAAGCAGCTGAATGTCTAAAGCATGGCTTAATGGACCATGCTTGTAGGAACATGGACAGTAGTGCTGAGAGTGATGTGAACAGTGGGGGCCAAGTACAAGAAGTCTCAGAGGGGCAGAATATTAGTAAGTGGCTTAGGAACCATTCTTGTGGTATTTCTGCAAAGAATGTGGCTGCTTTCTGCCCTTGTCCTAAAATCTGCTGGGGTCTAAATTGAAGAGTTTTAAATTAATGGCATTGGCAAAGGAGATTTTAAGACAGCTTATCATTTACTGTGTCCTGTGGTTATTAGCAATCCCTCTTATGGAAATCTACAATAAAAATAGCAAGCCAGTAAGAGAACCCCTCCATTGCCTCTGCATCAACTCCTGCCTCAAGTTTCTTGCTCTGTTTGAGCTCCTTTCCTGACTTCCTTTGAAGAAGAAAAGTGATATGAAAGTGTAAGCCAAATAAACCATTTCCTTTCCAAGTTGTTGTGGTCAGAGTTATTTCATCATAGCAATAGGCATCCTGAGTAAAACAAGGTATTGTTTCATCATGCCATGGGATATGAATCAATAATAAACAAATTAAGTGATTCTACAGTCTGGATATGTTGAAAACATACTGAATGAAACAAATAATGTGATAAAAGTCAGCCCATGCTGAAAAAATTGTATCTACTGTTTAGGAAAGCAGCAGGAGTAGCCAGTATTATGCATTTGATCCTTGTTTGCCCAAGGTGTTGAGGAGGCACTAGCCAGTTTATACTGGAAAGAATATGAGAGAGCCTTGGAGCAAGAGACAGTTCCAACTCCAACTAGAAAACAGCTACAAAAATTTATCTAAACTCTTCAAACTGTTAAAAATAGCATACAATGAAATAATTTGAAATAATGAGCTGTCGTTTATTTTCTTATCACTTGGTCTTGTTCCCAAGAGGTTTCAAATGTTCCTACCTGTAAGTTTTCTTTAGCATAGTTGAGCAAGTGCCCTTGTGATATGATAGAACATTCTTTGGGTATATGCCTAGGAGTGGTATAGCTGGGTCTTAAGGTAGGTTGATTCCCAATCATTTGAGGAACCACCATATTGGTTTCCAAAGTGGCTGTACAAGTTCACACTCCCAACAGCGATGGAGGAGTGTTCCCCTTGCTCCACATCCTTTCCAGTTTTGATCTTAGTCACTCTGACAGGTGCAAGATGGAATCTCAGAATCATTTTGACTTGTATTCCCCTGATAGCTAAGTATGTTGAATATCTCATTAAGTTTTTCTTGAACATTTAAGATTCTTCAGTTTAGACTTCTCTGTTTAGATCTGTACACCATTTTTAGTTGGATTATTTGGTTTTTTGATATCTAGTTTTTTGAATTCTTTATGTATTTTGGAAATCAGCCTTCTGTTGGATTTGGGGTTGGAGAAGATCTTTTCCCATTCTGTAGTGTGCCATTTTGTCCTACAGATGGTGTCCTTCGCTTTACAGAAACTTTCCAATTTTGTGAGGTCACATTTATTAATTTTCAACTTAGTGTTTGTGCTATTGGTGTTCTGCTCTGGAAGTTGTCTCCTGTACCAATGCATTTGAGATTTTTCCCACTTTATCTTCAACTGGGATCAATGTAACTGGATTTATGTTGATGTCATTGATCCAATTGGACTTGAATTTTGTGCAGGGTGATGTTTGCATTCTTCTACAGGCCAACATCCAGTTAGACCAGCATCATTTGTTGAAAGATCCTTTCTTTTTTCCACTGTATATTTCTGGCCTCTTTATCAAATCTCAGGTGTCCATAGGTGTGTGGAATTTTGTCTAGGTCTTTAATTTGTTTCCCATTGATCAACCTGTATGTTTTTATGCCAATATCATGCTCTATTAGACCTTGGAATCAGAGATAGTGATGCCTCTTAAAGTTATTTTGTTGTGCAGGATTGTTATAGCTATTCTGGTGTGTGTGTGTATGTGTGTGTGTGTGTGTGTGTGTGTGTGTGTGTGTGTGTGTGTGTGTGTGTGTGTTTTCCATATGAAGTGGAATATTGTTCTTTCAAGTTCTGGAAAGAATTGTGTTAGAATTTGATGGGAATTGCATTGAATCTGTAGATTGCTTTTCGTAAGATGATCATTTTTACTATACTAATCTACTGATCCATGAGTATGGAAGATCTTTCCATCTTCTGATATCTTCTTCAATTTCCTTCCTCCAAGACTTGAAGTTTTTATCCTACAGATCTTTTACTTGCTTAGTTAGAGTTACATCAAGATATTTTATATTATTTGTGGCTATTGTGAAGGGTGATGTTCTCTCATTTCCTTCTCAGTCCATTTATCATCTGTATATAGGAGAGCTAATGTGATTTCTTTTTTAGTTTATTTTTTTATCCAGCCACTTCACTGAAGGTATTTATCAGTGGTAGGGGTTTCCTGGTAGAATTTTGGGGTCATTTATGTATACTACCATATCCCCTGAAAATAGCTATACTTTATCTTCTCCCTTTTCAATTTGTATCCCTTTGATCTCCTTTAGTTGTGTTATTGCTCTAGTTGGAACTTCAAGTTTCAATATTATATTGAATAGATATGGAGAGAGTAGACAGCCTTGTCTTTTTGTCTTTTTCCTCATTTTAGTGGAGTTGCTTTGAATTTCTCTCCATTTAATATGATGTTGGCTACTGGCTTGCTGTATACTGCCTTTATTATTTTTAGGTATATTCCTTGTATTCCTGATCTCTCCAAGACTTTTATAATGAAGAACATTGGATTTTGTCAAAGGCTTTTTCAGCATCTAATGAGATGATGATGTTTTTTTTCTTTCAGTTCTTTTTTTTTTTAAACCAGATTACATTGACAGATTTTCATATGTTGAATCACTGCTGCATCTCTGGGATGAAGCAACTTGATCCTGGTAGGTGATCTTTTTGATGTGTTCTTGGATTTGGTTTGCAAGTATGTTATTGAGTATTTTTGCATCAATGTTTATGTGGGAGATTGGTCTGTAAATCTCTTTCTTTGTTGAATCTTTGTGTGATTTGGGTATCAGGGTAACTGTGGCCTCATAAAATGAATTTGGCAATGTTCCCTTTGAGGAGTATAGGAATTAGCTCTTCTTTGAAAGTCTGGTAGAAATCTGCATTTTAAAACCATCTGGCCCTGGTCTTCTTTTGGTTGGGAGACTTTTAATGACTATTTATATTTCCTTGTGGGTTGTAGATCTATTTAGTTGCTTATCTGATCTTGATTTTACTTTGGTAAGTAGTATCTATCCGGAAAATTTTCCATTTCTTTTAGATTTTCCAACTTTGTGGAGTACAGATTTTTGAAGTATGACCTTAAGATTCTTTGGATTTCCTAGGTGTCTGTTGTTATATACCCCCATTCATTTCTAATTTTGTTAATTTTGATATTTACTCTTTGCATTTTATTTAATATGGATAAGGGTTTGTTTATTTTTTGATTTTTCTCAAAGAACCAACTCTTTGTTTCATTGATTCTTTGTATTGTTCTCTGTTTCTATTTTATTTCATCCCTCAGTTTATTTTCTGCCTTCTACTCTTCTTGAGTGTGTTTGCTTCCTTTTAGTTCTAGAGCTTTTGGATATACTGTTATTCACTAGTATGAGATCTCTCCAATTTCTTTATGAAGGCTCTTAGTGCTATGAAATTTCCTCTTAGCATCACTTTCATTGTGTCCAATAAGTTTGGGTATGTTGTGCATTCATTTTCATTGAATTATAGGAAGTCTTTCTTTCTTTCTATATTCCTTCCTTGACCCAAGGATGATTCAGTAGATAGTTGTTCATTTTCCATGAGTTGGCAGGTTTTCTGTTGTTTCTGTTGTTGTTGAAATCCACCTTTAATTCATGGTGCTCTGATAAGATACAGGGGGTATTTTAATTTCTTTGATTTGTTGAGATTTACTTTGTGACCCAGTATATGGTCAGTTTTGGAGAATGTTCCACGTGGTGCTAAAAAGAAGGTATATTCTTTTGTGCTTGGGTGAAATGCTCTGTAGTTATCTGTTGTGTCCATTTGAATTATAATTATGTGAGCTCCATTATTTCTCTGTTTAGTTTTTGTCTGGATGACCAGCCAATTGGTGAGAGTGGGGTATTGAAGTCTCCCACAATTAATGTATGCAGTTTAATGTGTGATTTATGGTTTAGTGATGTTTCTTTTACAAATGTGGATGCCCTTGCCTTTGGGGCATAGATGCTAAGAATTACAATGTCCTCTTGGTAGATTTTTTTCATTGACAAGTATGAAATGCCCTTCTCCATCTCTTTTGCTTAATTTTGGTTGGAAGTCTATTTTGTAAATTTTAGAATAGCTTACACCAGCTTGCTTCTTAGGTTCATTTGACTGGAAAATCTTTTTCTAACCCTTTACTCTGAGGTAATGTCTCTCCTTGGTGTTGAGGTATGTTTCTTGTGTGCAGCAGAAGGAAGGGTCATGTTTTTTTATTCATTCTGTTAGCCTGTATCTTTTCTTTGGCGGGAGGAATGGAGTCCATTGATATTGAGAGATATTAATGACCAATGATTGTTAATTCCTGTTATTTCACTGCTGCTGGTGGTAGTGGTAGTATGTGTTTGTGTGTGTGTGTGTGTGTGTGTGTGTGTGTTTCCCTTCTTTGAGTTTTGCTGGTGTGAAGTTATTTATTGCCTGTGTATTCATGGTGTATTTAACCTCCTTGGCTTGGAGTTTTCCTTCTAGTATCTTCTATGCAGCTGGATTTGTAGATAGATATTGCTTAAATTTGACTTTGTCATGAAACATTTTTCCTCCGTCTTTGATGATTGAAAGTTTTGCTGGGAATAGTAGTCTGGGCTGGCATTGTCTCTTATAGTCTACAAGACACATGTCCAAGCCCCATCTGACTTTTAGAGTCTCCATTGAGAAATCGGATGCAATTATAATAGGTCTATTTTCATATGTTACTTGGCCTTTCTCATTTGAGGCTTGTAATAGTCTTACTTTATTCTGTATGTTTAGTGTTTTGGTTATTATGTGGTGCAAGGACTTTTTTGTTTTCTAGTCCAATTTATGTGGTGTTCTGCAAGCTTCATATACCTTTATAGACATGTCCTTCTTTAGTTTGGGAAATTTTTGTTCTATGATTTTGTTGAATGTATTTTCTGGCCCTTAATGCTGGCTTTCTTCTCCTATTGCTATTATTCTTAGGATTTGGTCTTTTCATAGTGTCCCAGATTTTCTGGATGTTTTATATTAGGAATTTTTTTTTAGACTTAACATTTTCTTTGACTGGTGAATCTATTTCTTTTATCATATTTTCAATGCCTGAGATTCATCTTCCATTTCTTGTATTCTATTGGTGAGGCTTGCACCTGTAGTTTCTGTTCACTTACCCAGATTTTTCATTTAAAGAATTCCATCTGTGTGTGTGTGTGTGTGTGTGTGCATTTAAATTGCTTCTATTTCCTTTTTCAGGTCTTGAACAATTTCCTTCACCTGTTTGTTTTTTATTAGCTTTCTTGTCATTCTTTAAGGGATTTATTGTTTTTTTTGTTTCTCAAATTTTCAATTTATTTAAGGGATTTTTTAAAATTTTCTCTTTAAAGACCTCTGCCATCTTCATAAATTTGGTTTAAGGTCATTTTCTAGTGCTTCAGCTGCATCAGAATGTTCAGGTCTTGCTGTTATAGGATAGCTGGGCTCTGGTGGTACCATATTGACCTTTCTGTTGTTGCTTCTGTTCTTATACTGGTATTTAGGCATCTGGGTTTGGAATGATTATAGGTCTAGGTGTTGATTCCCAAGTTTGTCTTTGTTCCATGGATGTTTTGTTCCTTGGTTTCTGTTTTCTCTCTGGTCTTCTGGCCTAAGTGACTAGGGGTTCGGGTGACTAGCAAGTCTTCGGGTGCAGTAGGGTGTCTCCACTGGGGCTTTTGCAGCCTGTAACACCTCTGGGGTTTTGGATGCCAGTGTTGCCTTTGTGATTCCAAATACCTGTGTGGCCTCTGGGATTAGTCTCTGACATGGGTGGCCTCTGAGATTCCTAGTATGGTTTGCCTCCCATACAGCCGAAGTTATCTGCTGAGGTTGTGGCCTGGGATATGCAGCTCAGGGGTAGTGCAGTTGGGGGCTGGTGGGTCAGCTTTAGGGAGTGTTCACTGGCTGTGGATAGTGTCTTACCTTGGGTCCCTAAAATTGGCCTGGCCTTGGGTAAAGCATTAGCCTTCTGCTGAAGTTGTGGCCAGAATATGGAGCCCAGGTAAAGGGGTGCAGTCTCTGGCTGCTGGACAGGCTTTAAGGAGTGTTAGTGGGTGGTGGTTGATGTCTGATGTCTTACCTGGGAGCTTTATCAACTTTCATGTATTTTCCTAGATATATATTACCTACAAAATATTTTGAGTGGGCCAATGCTATTTCAATAAACTAACAAAATAAAGATATGTGATTTATGTTTCATAAACACATGCTACTATGGAAATAACCATATGGCATGAGAGACAGAGAAGTACATGCCCTCATTTTTCTTAGGACAAATGTAACTAACTGGACCTTGAATGATTATAAATGTTACATAAATGAAAAATGAAATGTACATTTCTTAAATACTTAGAATACCAGTCTAAAGCTCCCTATGTATTTTAATTTTGTATATTCAGAGTCATTCTTCATAAAAATAACTGCAGATTGAGAAACATTTTAGTAACTGCTTTTTCTATTAATATAGTTATATGTCATTAACCATTTACATATGTATACATTATTATGACAAAAATAATGCTGAAACTTGTTTTCCTTATAGGAATCAATTTATATTGATTTTAATGTAGAAAATTTTAAAACAAAAACTTATCATTGTTAATTGTTATGAGATAAGGATTGTGTAAATATTACTCAGCATTTTTAGACAGTGATTAGGACCAGAGTGAAGCTCATGGGCAGGAGGCTGTCTGAGCCTCCTAGTGGCCTTTATCAACTCCAGTACCAGCAAGGACATTGATGAAACTTGGCTCTCTATGTAGTGTTGATGAGACTCACAAAAGCCTAATAGTTGTGTTAATCCCACCAATCAAGAACAAGACCACTACCACAGTTTAAAGTTAAATTTGAAGCAAGCTTTAATTAAATGCTGGCCAGGCAGATGGGTTCTGGCCATGTCCATAACCGGTTCCCCGGAAATGGCCCAGAATCCCAGTTTGCAGCAGGAAAAGTCATAATTCATTGCATTTCCCATCAGGTCTGATTAGGGGCAAGCATATATCCTGATATACCTCTAGCCTACATCCAGTCCGGGACAAGCTTACATCCTGACATATTTCCTGCCTGTGAACCTCCTGCCCACATGTGATCAAGCACATCTGGTGCAGATGGGTCAAACAAATCTGTTTAAGAAAATGAAAAATATGTGTCTTGTTATCGCCCATACAATAGCCTCCAGCATTTCAGGAACTATCTGCCCATGGACAAGGGACTTGCAGATCAGAGGCATTTTTGTTTCATGGATCAGGCATAGTAATTGAAACTTAAAATGTAACTTTGGCTCTCACCATTGTATTAGTAATGGTTATTCTAGTGCTGAGAGCCCATTTCAAACATGTGTGTTTCCTAGACAGTTCCTGTGATCTTTGTTCACATGACTGGATTGCTTTTGGAAACAATTTCTATCGTGGTTTTCAAGGAATCAAAAGCTGGGTAGACAGTCAGTCTGCATGTAAGGAACTGAATTCTCATCTTCTGGAGATTGACTCCAAAGCAGAGCTGGTAGGTGACATGATCTGATTTTCTGTTTCTTTGTAACTTTTTGCACAAGGAGCATGGGTCATGAAGCAAACTGAATGTTCTAGAAGGAAGGTGACAGCTGCTTAGGGCCATTTAATATTATCTTTATTGAGAAAATAGGGAGAACTCTATTACACTGTTTAGTGCTACAAGCAAACCAAAGTAGTAAATGAGCTCCCACTGGCACGTTCTACTCAGCAGGCTGTGCAAGGCCTTGGGAGACCCAAAGCTGCTATTTAGTAAAGAAGGAGCAGATCACCAGCTTAGTGACTCATTCCCAACACCCCAGCACTTGAGAGGCTGAGACAGGAGGACCACCATGAGTTTGAGGCCAGTTTGGTTTATACAGTAAATTTCCAGGCCAGCTTGGACTATGGGATAAAATTCTGTCTCAAATTTTAAAAAGATGTATACATTTAAACAAGTAAATATGTTTAAAAGGCAAAAAGAAAAGAAAAAGGGAATAGGATTATATACTCAGTTATGGGTTGTGATTTTCTTTACTCAACAGGAAAACATGCTATTATTTGAATTTGATGGGTGGATTCTCCTCAAAATAGATGAAACCGAGGTGTCCTGGCAATGGGAAAATGCCACTAAAACAGAGCAAACTCGGTAAGTAGAATGTTTGGATAAAGTGGGCTTTGCTGAGGGTAGTAGGATTATTGTACATGTGTGTCCTGTCTATGTGTGGCACAGAAGGAGCATTCAGAAGAAAGGACAGAGCTCTGCTTTGGAAGGAGCAGTCTGTGGGCCATAGAAGAGAAAACATGTCAGCCTTAAGTAATCTCACCTTTGGAATATTTGTGTTTTTATTCTACAAGACTCCCTGGAGATATTTATACATCATTTTAGGAAGTTTGTAACTTTAAAGCCTTGTACCATTTCCTTTTTATTTGAATCACAATCCCACTTTTTCAGACAGTGTAGGATTAGCTTGTGCCTGATGTTTAGTGTTTGGCAACTAAATGCCATCTCCCCGCTCCCTTCATGGCTCTTTGTTCTCTTCCGGTAACAAAATTTTATTTCTTCTTTTTGACTTGTTTTTGTTTTAGCTAATTCTAACTTTGAAACAGAAAATGGTATCTGCAGTGATCACCACTTGATTTCTGATTCTCTTTTTATTGTTTTTATACAGAATTAATGATTCAGAAAAGAACCATAGTTGTCATTATCTGAAAGGAACGCAAATTTATTCTGTTGACTGTTCATCTAAGAAACCATATACCTGTGAGTTTAAAATGCTCTGACACATGTTTCACTAGCACAATTTTTATTAAACTATAAATAAAATAGTATGTCTGTTATTTGTTGGTTCTATAATTTTTATACTTGAGTTTAGCTAGAAGGCTGAAAAGGGATAATTTTTTAAGTTTTGAACTTTTTTTTACTGAATTGAGAACATGTAGTTTAATGTTTTTTACTTTCTGTATTGTATTGAGAGAGTGTATAATTTATCTTGAGGATGATCACCTCTCTAGTACAATTTAGGTTATTGTAAATTAGTTAAATAACAAATACCATGTATTGTAGCTAGAGTTTTCCTGCCTGGCCCACAGTCAGGACAAATCTCTCTCACCTGCCAGTCGCACAGCCGCTCAGACCTGACCAAGTAAACACAAAGACTTATATTGGTTACAAACTGTATGGCCATGGCAGGCTTCTTGCTAACTATTCTTACAGCTTAAATTAATCCATTTCTATAAATCTATACCTTGCCACATGGCTCGTGGTTTACCGGCATCTTCACATGCTGTTTCTCATCGTGGCAGCTGGCAGTATCTCTGACTCAGCCTTCCACTTCCCAGCTTTATTCTCCTCCTTGTCCCGCCTATACTTCCTGCCTGGCCACTGGCCAATCAGTTATTTATTTATTGTCCAATCAGCAACACATTTGACATACAGACCATCCCACAGCAATGTATATTCAGTAATTTGGCAAAATCCAATAGACTTAAAGTAATAAAAAGGATTCCATATCAGTTGAGTGGATTTTGAAAAGTTATTTGTGTGTTACTCCTACATAAGGAGCAGCAGGTGCACATGTGAAGATCATGTGAAGGTCAGAGGACAACTTGGGGGAACTGGTTCTTGCCTTCCACTTTTATGTGGATTCCAGGATTAAACTCAGGTCCCCAGGCTTGCATGACAAGTACTACTACCCAGTGAGCCATGTTGCTTTGTTGGATTTGGGTTTTGTTTTTTTTTTTTTTTTAATATGCTTACACTATGTTGTACAGCCTGGTCTGTATTCCCAGGGCTCAAACATTTTTGAGTTATAGTGTATCTAGTAGACAGACCAGAGATGCAGCCCACCTCACCCAGTGTAAGAGTCCTAACCTGGAGATACTGTTTGAGATTGTTCAAGAAGTGTGTTGGTGATTCTGCATGAGACAGGAAGAATGGGTTTAATGGAAAAACAATAAATAACAAATGCAACTTAGGTTGGAAAAGTTAAGGAACTTGCAGTCTGGGACTAGAGTGATGGGTCAGAGGTTAAGAGTGCTTCTGCTCCTTCAGAGGCCACAAGTTCAATTCTCTGCACCCACATGTCATCTCACAATAGTCTGTAACTACTTCCATTGGATCAGACATCCACTTCTCATCTCCCTGGGCTCCTGCATGAGCATGATACACATAGGAACTCACATATGCATGCTGTGGGATGGTCTGTATGTCAAGTGTGTTGCTGACTGGTCAATAAATAAATCACTGATTGGCCAGTGGCCAGGCAGGAAGTATAGGTGGGACAAGGAGGAGAATAAAGCTGGGAAGTGGAAGACTGAGAGAGAGACACTGCCAGCTGCCACGATGACAAACAGCATGTGAAGATGCTGATAAGCCACGGGCCACGTGGCAAGGTATAGATTTATAAAAATGGATTAATTTAAGCTGTAAGAATAGTTAGCAAGAAGCCTGCCACGGCCATGCAGTTTGTAACCCATACAAATCTCTGTGTTTACTTGGTCGGTCTGAGTGGCTGTGGGACTTGCAGGTGAGAGAGATTTGTACTGACTGTGGGCCAGGCAGGAAAACTCTAGCTACAAATGGCGCCCAACGTGGTGGCAAGAGTTTCCAGCTAAAACCTGAGAAAAGATTCTAAAATGGAGCTAAAAACAGTTCCTAGTTGTCTCTCTCAAGTTAGCGGCAGCCTGCATGTGTTTGAGCTACTAGCAGGTTTCTAGTGTGCGTGCTCGACCTGCAGTATGGAGGGAATGAGGCCTCTGTAAGTGGCACATTAAGCTGAATGGTGGATTTAGCCTTTGTTAGTACAAAACAAAAAAAAAGGTTTCTGGGCTACACGCTGCTTGGATAAAAGCATAGAGACCCAGGATAGCTCCCAGAGCTGGCGGCAAATGTACCAAGCTGAGGTGGGTGGAGCCAGCAGTCACAGCTGCTACAGTTTAAAGCAATAGATTCACAATAAGACAGATTCAGATGTAATCGTTTACAATGTGTGTAAAATATACATAGGCTTGAAAGAGATAAAAAGGTAATATATACAGTTATATAAACAAATAAATAGTTTTAAAAAATAAAGTCTTTAAAGAGACAGTAAAATTAATATAAAAATAAGCCACGTAAAGATAAATATTACACAGAGAATCTGGATTGTGTTGTCTTTGGGATTTTTAACTGCAGAAAAACATATGATTGTAAAAGATGTTGCGTTAAACCAATATGTATATTTTAAAGATACCTTGACTTCAAAATTTGGATATAAGGATATGTTGCTTTGGAAAAGAGTCTCTGCTTTTGTTCCCACAGAAAGCCAAAGGCTATGGATTTGTTCCAGATTAAGATACATCAGGTTTGACCAGCCAAGACCCCCTGAAAGGTCTCTGATGACACCATGGCCCAGATGATCCAACATCCAGAATGGTTTGAAGGCAACTGGCTCAGACAATACAGCCTCATGGACTATTCCATAATCCTAAAATTTTCTTTGTATCCCATAAAATACAGCACCCCCCTCCAGCAGGAAGTAGTAAGAGAAGCTATGCCCAAATTCCCAAATTATATGTAATTTTACTTTGTTAAGGTTAAAACCTTCCTTTTTGAGAAAAAAAAAAGAACAGGGGAAGTACTGTGGGATGTTCTGTATGTCAAGTGTGTTGCTGATGGGTCAATAAATAAATTACTGATTATCCCGTGGCCAGGCAGGAAGTATAGGTGGGACAAGGAGAATAAAGCTGGGAAGTGGAAGGCTGAGTCAGAGATACTGCCAGCTGCCACGATGAGAAACAGCATGTGAAGATGCCGGTAAGCCACGAGCCATGTGGCAAGGTATAGATTTATGGAAATGGATTAATTTAAGCTGTAAGTACAGTTAGCAAGAAGCCTGCCATGGCCATACAGTTTGTAACCAATATAAGTCTTTGTGTTTACTTGGTCGGGTCTGAGCGGCTGTGGGACTGGCGGGTGAGAGAGATTTGTCCTGACAGTGGGCCAGGCAGGAAACTCTAGCTACATATGTACTCACAGATGTATTGCAGGGGCTAATGCAACACCATCTTGTTCTAACTCCATTTTGTGTTTGCTTAGACAGTTCTTATCTCTCTATGCACCTGCAACATCTACCTTAAAAAAAAAAACAATTGAGATTTCCATGGTCTAGATGTATTAACCAAAATAATTAATGTTTATTCAAACTTAACATAAGTTAAAATAACTGAAGAAGGTATGATGCAAAAATTATTGTCATGCTGAATCTAACTTAATTACTATGCTCTGCCAGAAATGAATGTTTCAAGGTTACTCTGACCCTCCTCATCTACCATTAATGTAATTCATGGTCTTTAATTTTTTGCCTTTAAAAATGCTGTACCCCTGAGCTTCAGCATCAAGAGATGTTCAAGCATGAGCCTGTTCTTTGTTGTCAGCTAATAAAGGACTCATGTATTTTTACTTGGCTTAATCAGCATGGTTTTCTGTATCTTTCTTGTATGAGTTATTATAATATACAGTAATGAATCAATTTTTAAAAAAGAAACTCAGAGTCTGGCCACACTTGTAGGACATTACCTTCTCTAGAGAGTAGCTAATACTGCACTTTCAGTCATTTAGAAGGTGACAAGGTGATGATGAGAGAAGAGATGAGAGAGCAAGCAGAGGAAGGAAAACCATGAAGCGAAAACAAAAGAAAGTTCTTGTGCTAAAAGGGCCTATAACTGAAAATTTAAATTCTAATTTTTCAAATCTTTGAAGAAACAATGGTTAGCAGTTCTCCAATTGGAGTTCTAAAAAATATTGTTTGCATTAATATGCAGTAAGTTGTGAAAACAGGAAGAAAAATTTTAGAAGGGAAACCCACAGCTATGAGTGCCATTATCCTACTACTGACATTTAGAGATGATGAATGTGGAGCTGGAGAAATAAATGGCTCAATACCTGGATGCAGTGGTTGCTTTACCAGAGGACTAGGTTTCAATTTTCAACATCCACAGCTCACAATGGTCTGTAAGTAAGTCTGTAGGTGCAGAGGATCCAACATTCTTTATGCTTTCAGATACTATGAGGAACATGTGTGATACAGACAAAACCAAAGAGCCCAAGCACATAAAATGATGATAATGATGATGATGATGATGATGATGATGATGATGATAAAGATCAGGGCTGTATATGGAATATAGACATAGAAAATTGCCATAGTCAATAGAACAACAATATAGATATTTTTTCTATCAGAAGCTAGTAAATTTTAAAACCTACTCAGACTTCTGTTGTTGCACAAATCCTAATTGGTTTTAGTAAAAACCCAGAGCCAGATATCAGGGTGAAAGTTGAAAGAATAGAGAAGCGGGGCAAGCCACAGCCACTACCTCTTACCTCAACAACTCCTCAGTCTGAAAGAGCCAGAGTCCCTGTCTCCTCCTGTCTTATATTCCTTTCTCTGTCCAGCCATATCACTTCCTGTCACAGCCTTCCTAGTGCTGGGATTAAAAGTGTGTGATCCCAAGTGCTGGAATTAAAGGTGTGTGCCACCACTGCCTGGCTCTGTTTCTCTTTTAGACTGGGTTAATCTGGTATAGCCCAGTGTGGCCTTGAACTTACAGAAATCCCGACAGATCTCTGCCTCTGTCTCTGGAGTGCTAAGATTAAAGATGTATGCCACCACTGTCTGCTGTGGATGGTCTGTATGTCAAATTGCTCTGAATGGTCAATAAATAAAACACTGATTGGCCAGTGGCCAGGCAGGAAATATAGGCGGGACTAATAGAGAGGAGAATTGAGAGAACAGGAAAGCGGAGGGAGACACTGCCAGCTTCCACCATGACAAGCAGCATGTGAAGATGCTGGTAAGCCATGATCCACGTGGCAAGGTATAGATTTATAGAAATAGATTAATTTAAGATGTAAGAACTAGATAGCTAGAAGCCTGAGACATTAGGCCAAACAGTTTAAACAATATAAGTCTCTGTGTTTACTTGGTTGGGTCTGAGTGGCTGTGGGACTGGCAGGTGACAGAGATTTGTCCTGACT